GGGCGGGGACGGGGGTCAACCGCGGCCCCGGGCCTCGCCGGCTCCGCCGCGGGGGTGCTGCCTGCCGGGCTGGCTTCGTTCAGCGTTAGAGCTTTTAAGCCACTTGGGCAATAGTTTTACGCTGGGTAAGAGAAGCCCATCTCTCCCTTCGGTCCTTTCACAGCGGCGCGTTTGATGCATCGCCCCATTACGTTTACAACAGACCCACTAGGGTTTATGGCATCTGATTGTCAGTGGTCCCCTCTGGGTTCTCCACCTCTTTTCGCAGCATCGTTACGACCTCATTGACTTACCGTTTGGGGCTCTGGGACTGCAGAGCTTTGACACAATATATCTTCTCTTTTTTTTCTTCTTTCTTCTTTCTTAAAGTTTTCCACTCACCTACACGATTCCGACGCGGGTGAACGATAGAGTTACACATGTAGGATTGCATCATTTCTAGAAAGTACCTTCCTTTCTTTCCTTCTCTCCCAAAATCCAGGAGGGGGAAAACATGAATGAGGTAAAGGAGGCTCTAAGAAACATAGAGCAGAACTACAAGCTCTTCCTGCAGCAGCAGTTCACCTTTATCGGAGCACTGCAACGCACCCGAGAGAATGCACACGACATGATCAGACCTGTGGCAAGCGTCGGCCAGGTACAAAGTATTCAGCACAAAGTTCTCTGTCGATGAGGACGGGGACCAGCGCAGTGCTGTCGCGCACTTGGGTCTAGTTCAGGGATGAATAAGTGCTTTGACTAAGGGAAGATGCACAAAAGCTCGCTAGTAACATTTGTGTATAACTCTGCAAACCAGTGGCAAAAGATTAAGTCAGGGAGAGAAATACCTATGTTAGGCCTTCCCATTTACAGAGGAGGAATTTTATAGCTGAGCATCACTTTATGATTTAGTTTCACACCGTCATTTCGCCGCTGAGGCACAGCCAGAAATACAGGCTACAAGAAAACAATCAAACCAACCCTCCTTCCCCAGCCACACATGGAATCTGTAATCCTTAACTTGTAGTAACTAGCATGCTTGCCTCTTCCCCCTGGTATTGGTGCTGCTGTATTTTTCTATAGTGCTTATTAAAAATAATGGCTGTGTTACAGAGGTAGGATGATGGATTGAGGGCTGAAAGTCCCAAGTGGGCTAGGGGTTTTCTGGGCTGGTAAGTGAATTGTCTTGGAATTTTTATAACGTGGGATGTTTTAAGTAGTGCGAAGAACTTGGACCACCTGCAGACAGAGGGAGAAGAAAAATCTAAATAAAATTAGAATTGTGGATGTGAAACAGCAGAACCCAGGCACAAAACCCAGACGGATGCCAAAGCCAGAGTGAAAGCCAAGCTGTTATTAGGATCAGGACACAGAAGTGGGCTGGTTGTCTTTTCTAAGGGCTGACTCTCTCTAATATAAGGGCTTTGCTCGTAATATTGAAGAGGATCGTGACAGACATTACACCAAACCATTTTTTCCAAAAATAGGCATTGAGATTTTGTATAACATTACGCTGTTTTTCAAAGTGCCGATACTGCAGTGGCACTGAGCAAGCTTGGACTCTGCTTCTTGGCCGAGGTGGAAGGCCTGCTTGTTGTGGGGGGCGAAACCTCGTAGGTAACGACTGCAGCAATTACATTGATCCACGGCATCGTTTGTGGTACAGTAACATGTGAACTTGGTGGCGGCAAGCTGTACTGCACAGGTAGCCCTGAGGGTACAACCACGTCACCCCAGGGGGAGGACGGGAAAGGGAAAAGAGCGAGTTACTGGGGAGAACAGGGAGCAATTGGTGCAGCACATACTGGCGACGCGTTGTGCAGGAACTGAACCACTACCAAAGAAAGTTCACTGGGGACAAAACCAGACATCCATTTCATTTCACTACCTTGCTCCTGAATCAGCCCAACTCTGTTTTTAATTTTGCATGGGAGGGCACAAGAATAAAAGCAACAAATGCAGAAATATGTGTGGTCTCAGCCTACAGCTGACTTGACTGCCAGCTTTCTTTGCATGTAAACATAGACACTACGGAAAAAAATGATATTGCACTTGAACATGGCTGCATTTCTAACCCCTAAAAGCTGTATGTGGTAGCATTTTTAGTGTGGAGCGATGACGTTTCTCAGAGAAAAGAGGAGAGCATAGTAAGGCGGAAAGGTCAAAGAGCACACCACGGTCAGGCAATGGCAACAGCTCCTCAAAGGCTTCTGCACGGAGTAGGGTGTAAAGTCAAATCCCAAGTGGTTTTGTGAGACAACCTCCTCAGTCATCGCTTCAGGCAGCGATTCAGATCACCCAGTGAGTCCCTGCACTGCAGAACCTGGCTGTGGCCATGACATCGGCCCAGCGTAGGAGCTGTCCCTGAACTCCCCTGGCTGCAGCTCAACTGCTCATCAGCAGTTGGCTAATGCGGCGCTGGGCAGCCCTTGCAAGCCGTTGTTCCTGCAGGCCTGGTCCCGGTCCTGCTTACGCAGGTGCATTAACTCTGTTGTTGATGTGGACAAAAAGAAGTCCTGTTATCCCATCGGTGAACATCCAGGCTAAAATGCTATCCTCTTTAGGACTACTTCTGCTCACAGCAGCAATAAAAAAATCCAGCCACTCACAAGGACACGATGCTCAGCGAACAGTGTGGAAGGAGGAATCTGTAGTGGAAATGGACCTTTAGGGGCCATTTTTTATTTTCCTTACAAACCTGCTGAGAATTTGCCCCAGCACATAGCATGGCTTTTCTGTATGCAGAAACTGTACCGATGTTGGAACAGCTACTTCGTTCTGGTCTTGAAATCTTACAGAAAGCGCTGAAGGTGTTGGAGTCCAGCTATGACTGCCAACCAGCCGCTCAGTATTTCGTATTCTGACCACTCGTGTCTGAAGTGCCTGTAATTTCTTCGGGGAAGATACTTAATCTCTTGGCATAACGCTTCATCATGCAATGCCATTCACTCTGAGTAACAAAAGTGCTCAAGGCAAATAGGGAATAGCATTGCTAGAACAGGTTACTAAGGACAATTTAGGTTAAATGGGTTTAGTTTGCAGTCACATCTACTGGTGCCAAATAAAGAACCACGAAGAATGCATGATGCAAACACATCACTCCAAACCATTCCCAGTTTGGTCACTGCCCTCACCTCCCACCCCGCGCTGCCTGGGCAGCCACGGCGGTGGCAGAGGGTGCCCTGCTCAGGGCAGACCGAAAACTCTGCTCACACTCAACCTGTTTCTGCAGTGCTTGCAGCAGAGCTGTGGGTTTGGCCGTGGTATTCCTACACTTCTGCAAAGAGGGAGGAAGGCTCACCGGTGTGCTGACGAGCAGATCCATCACCCCGGCCTTCTTCAGTCATGGTGAATGACAAGCAAACATCTCGGGCATGCTCTAGAAATCTTACTACCTGCCGCTGTATTGCAGTTTCCCCAGTGGCTCATGCCTGCAGAGTCACAAGAGAAAGCAGCTTCTTGTCACTAACCGAAGCAACTTTGCAGCTTATCACAACGTAATTTAACATGCGCGACCCTGTCTTTCCCCACGTACAGGTACAGTCCTACATGGACCATCACTGTAACAATTCCACGGACAGGCGTATCCTGAACATGTTCCTAAACATCTGTGATGATCTAAGCAAGCTCTGCCACAAGCTGGAAACCGTGCATCCTGGTAACACCGTAACCAATGGCATTCTGGAGAGATGCAAGCTGCTCCTTAGCCACAGCAACGATCTGAGCACCATCCGAGCTAAGTAGGTCTCTCCGTCAGCTTAGTTTCTTTGAGGCGATTGTCGATGCCGGGGGACTGTCCCGAGAATGCATATTCCCACTTGACTTTGCCATCAATTTTGTTACAACATCTTTCTGGCTTTAGTGAGGATACCAGGTGCCAGCCAGTTTACTCTTCCAGCTGTTGGGAAAACATTGCCAGCCTCCATTCACAAAAAGGGGGTTCGTTTGTTTATTCATTCTTTTTACTGGTGCATGGAAGGGCACGTACAGGCGGGTTAGTACCCTGAAGTCCCATGCGATGCTCAGGCAGTTTACCTCCTCCTTCCTCCTATTCCTGCTCTGCACGTAGCTAATTTCTGCGGGGCAAGTGTCTGTACGTGCTCTTGAACTCTTCCAGATCGAGCCCAGCAGCCAGGATGGTGTGTTTGGCAGGACTCATGTCTCAAGATGCAATTCTATCCGTGCCTTTTTGTTTTGGGGAAATGGCTGCCTGTGCATTTCTGCTCTTCCCAGGGGGTCTCAGGGTGAGGCTGTGGGCTCACCAGGGCTGCATTCCTGGGACTACTCTGCCAATTGTTTCCTTCTGCCCCACAGATACCCCCATGATGTTGTGAATCACCTGAGCTGTGACGAAGCAAAGAATCATTATGGAGGTGTGGTGAGCCTCATCCCCATCGTTCTAGACTGCATGAAGGAGTGGGTAACCCACACTGAGAAGCTGCCACGGCACGTGCTGTATAACACGAGTGGTGGAAGTGCTGTCTCTGAGAAGAGGGCACGCCAGGATGCACCAGCTAGGGCAGCCATTTCCCAAACACCACCTTCTGTGCGCCCTGAAGCTCAGACCTCAACTAGTAACAAAGATGGTGTACAAGCGCAGGGGAGTATGCATGTCCGGAAGAAGAACCTAAATGACACAGAAAATCACGGTGGGAAACTTAAAGGTCCCTGGAAACCACCAGGTAGACATGCCTTTTAAAGGATCAAAGTTCACGTGTCTTCTGCTTACCACCTTTAATTAGGTGGGTGATTAAAGACAGTGAAATGAATACTAGAGATCTTTCCCATCTGAGTCCATTTTCTGAAGAGTTAGCCCTGTAAGCCAGCCTTGGACAGGTACATACTCTCTCCCTTGCTGGTGTTTCCACTCTCCTCCTTAAAGTCGTATCCCAACAGAAGTAGCTGTAGCACTACAGCTGGTCCCTTTGACCAGCACTGCGGTGAGAGCAGGGGATAGTCGGGAGCAATCAGGTTCTAATCGCTCAGATACGAATCTTGGACAAGCTACTTGAAGTGGAATTTACACTTTCTCAGACTTCTTGCACCCACCCACTCGCCGAAGCCGGAGGTGTGAAGAACCTGCATGTCTGAAGGACGTTGCAGAGCAGCAAAGGCCTCTCATTTTGGATTCAGACGTGTGTTTGAGATTTAGACTTGTCCCTAAAGTTCCCTCACCCCCATTGAAATTGCCTGCTTATTTGGACCGAAGAATCAAAGTCTACAGGATGCTAATGATGTCTCCCTTCCGTGCCACTGGCTACAGGAAAGGTCAGCGCGCTTTAGCTGCACCGACTGTGCTCTGCTGCATCCTTCTTGCAGGTTCTCACACCATTGCCAGTACACACCACTCAGAACATCTTCCCTTACAGCTGTTTGACTCCTTTGCTGTCAGAGCGCGAGATGCAAAGGAGGACAAACTTCATTTTGCACTTAGTTTGGTGTACTGGCAATATCCAAACTTGAATAAACCCCCCCTGTCCTCCCCAGAGCTCTGCAAAGCTAACAAAGTCATTTCCAGTCGACGTGATTCATGGGAATCTGGTGGGAGCAGAGCGAGTGAGAAAGCTGTGGCCATTTTCAGATCATTCCTTTTCAAATTGCAAGTTAAAATGTCTGTGCTTTCCCTTTTTCGAGATGGGAATCTGGCTTGCCTGGCTTTCAAGGATGTTCTGAGGCTTAGTTCATTAAAGCTGCAAGGCATTTGAAACAGTCTCATGCTGCTTTTATACCAGCACTTTGCAATTCCAGCACAGAGACTTTATACTAGTGCTGAAAACAGCTTTCTTTCCAGCCTGCTTAGGGAGGGTCAGCAGAGTCCCACGCTCTCCCCATTCTCTGGAGCTGATCTGCATTTTTGGTGGTGCTTTTATTCAAGCACCATTAACTACAAACTTACGATCTCAATAATGCGGTGTCTTCCCTGTATCTGACTGCTCTTTTCCCCTCTCACAGGCAAATTAGCTCCTGTTCTTTGCTTCCTGCTGGAAGATGCTCCTGAATAAACAATTTCCCCTCGCATACCTGGCTCAGTTTGCTAAAATTGTGAGAAAGCTTTTGCCTTTAGATGACCAGATTTTAGCAACAAGCAGCCAAAAAAGAAGGGAGAATTAATAGAGAGGAGGGAGCATAGGAAGGAACGATAGCTGAGATGAAGTGGGAAGTATTTTCAGGAGCGTTTGTATTCCTGACATAACCCCACCTTCTTTTGCACCTTTTTCCCTTCCCCTAGCCACACGTGCTGCAATGCAAATACATCTGCCCACCCGGGAGTAGAAGCCTATTTTTAGGAGACATCACGATCCAACTGAATTGAACCTCGGTGAACTCAAAACGGTAACGAAGCTTGCCAGGGTCACACAGAGACTCCTCGGCACTACCGGGGCCCCAGCCAGCTAAATGTCACCGTCACCCTCTCAGGCTTTATTTGAGAGCCCTGTTGCAGAGGCAGCTTCAGGCAGAAAAATCAAAGTTGCTCGCAGCTGCCCTGTTGTGTTTCATGTCGCAAAGACGAGTGTCCGACGACAGTTGCTCTCTTGGAAAGTTTTTCAAAGCAAGTACCGCGCTATGTGGACTAAAAGATGCCGAGTGTTAGGGACACGAGGACACTATTCCCAGATCTTGTTTCCAACCTTCGTCACCCTGTTGTACAGTTTAAATTTGAACACGCAGGCTCTGATGAGACCAAAATTATCCGCCAGTTTGTAGTTCACTTTCAGCTTCCGCGGTGCGGCACAGCACAAGTCGCTCGTCGGAACGGTCCTATCAAGCCCTGCCTACCACCTCCCCGACCCTGCGCTTCAAAATGCCAACGCGCTTGTCCGTTCGGACTTGACAAAGGTTGCGATACACGCAAGGAACACAGTTCCCAAACCTTAACAATAGGTTCCAGCCTAGCCCTATCCTTTCAATCAGTCTTACGCAGCCAAAATTTGAAGACGCGAGCAGAAAGAGGAGTGCATAAAACTTGCAGTCTGAGGTTTGGTAGTGACATGACCAGAATCTGTTGGAAGACTGCAAAGGTAAGTCTCACAAAAACATCTAGACAAATTACTTAATTTCCATACAAGTTCTCCTCTTCTAGAGTGGATGGACACTTCAAAAGACAAAAAGATACAGCAAGAATTGTTTTTCTCTACTACAAATCAAGCTGTTTGAAGAATTTACATAAACAGGATGTAAACGCCAAGCACAGAAGTGCAATAAAGTTTTACTTTAGCCTCTGTGAGCATAAAATTCCAAGATACACACTGAGAAACCAGGCCGGGCACCAAACTGACTTACCCAGAGATCCGTCAGTCGGTCTGGGAAATAAACGCTGCTTTTTCGTTCAAAGACTGAAATAGAGATACAGGCCGGTAGTAGATGACCTCAACAGGATCCTGGCATCCGTAGGCTTATAAATTACCTCTGTGCTCCCCTTGGTTCAGCTAAGGGTCAAACCAGGCTTTTGTCGACCTGTAACCAGGCCAAAATATCCTGTACGTTAAACGTCTGGTTCCAGCGCCCCACGCGCGGAGAGGATGGGGTGCAGCGCGGGCCCCAAGACGTTAAGGTCGGGCGCCAGGGATGGCGGTGGGCTCTTAAGGGGACGGGAGGGGGCGAGGCAAGGGAGAGGGGAAACTCCGCATCCCGAAAATGTCATTAAAGCCGATGCGGAGCGAAGCGGCGGGCTTCGGGGGGCCTCTGGTGGCCGCGACCGGGAAACGCCGCGGGGCAGCGGCGGGCGAGCGGCGGG